ATGGAGCTACCTCCTCCAGTGATTTGCCCACCACCATTCACAAATGGATTTGGTGGGACTGCAGAGTTTAAATCTGATCCACCGATTATGAGATTGTTTAGCCCATCTTCATATGCACTCATGGGTGTTGCTGGCTAGTCCAGCATTCATTGCTCATCCCCTAGTTGCCCTTGAGAAGGTAGTGGTGAACTGCCTTCTTGAACCACTACAGTCCATGTGCTGTATCATGTGCTGTATCCTCATGCTATCAGATCATTTATCAGGGTAGGTAAGCCATGTGGAATACTTTCTTTTTTGCTAGAACCTGTATAATACACTTGTATAAAGTCCAGCTAGAGAACTGTGTACAGTTCTGTTCACTGCATTACAGGAAGATGTGTTTGCACCAGAAAAGACACAGAGGAGATTTATAGTGATGTTATCAGGACTTGAGAATTTTAGTTGGGAAGAAAGATCCAGATAGGCTGAGAGATAGCAAGAACTGCAACTACAGTATGGAGCTGGAGGAACACAGCAGGCCTGCAGCATCAGAGGAGCAGGAAAGTTGACATTTTGGGTCGGGGCCCTTCTGCAGACATGGGGAGGGGGAAGGGAGCTCAGAAATAAATAGAGGTGGGGTGGGGCTGGGAAAGGTAGGTAGGATGGTGACAGGTGCGTGCAGGTAGGGGGCGGTGGGGATTGGTTAGTGGGATGGGTGGGGCGGATAGGTGGGAGAGAAGATGGACAGGTTGTGTCAGGTCAAGGAGGTGGGGATGACAGTAAGGGTTGTAATATTAAGGAGAGTTTGGTACATTCAGACAATGAAGGCCATCAGTTTAACTGGTACAACGTAACTATAGCAGCCCAAGCCAAACATGGACACGCACGGGAATTTCTAGAGGCATGGTCCTCCAACCATAATGTAATCAACAAACATATCGAATTGGACCCCATATATAAACCCATACAGATCAAAACCGGAAATGACACAACTTACCATAATGGACCAGACAGTATAAATTCCAAGCGGAGTAGAACAACATCGCTTCATCAGAGGCTCCACTGATGATGTCACCTAGCATGGTGACGAAATGTCTGATCTAAAACAAGCCAGCTCATCGTGCAAGTCAACAACCTCCCCCACAACCCAAGTTATACATCTTTGCCAAAACTTTAAACTTGAAATGCTGTAAACTACAGGGAAATGGAGAAACAGCCAGAAAGTGGGAATAAGATGGATAGCTCTTCCAGCTGGCACTATTCTAACGGCTCAACTCTTTCTGCACTGTTGACAGAGAAGACATTAATGGCAAATGTTGCAGCCGTTCCCTTCTAATGTTGCTGATCTTCTAATCTTGAGGCTTCAACCTGGTCCTGTTCTTTGAAATGTTTGGATCATTATTTTCTTTTAAAGCCAGAACATTTAATTTTATTTTGCTGACTTTGGCAATAATTCATTTTCCAACTAACCAATTTCCCTCTTCTCATACCCTTTAGACTCCATTTTCTTGAGCTGCCACATTGTGTCGAAGCCAGGTACAACTTGGACAGCACATTCCCCTCTAAGTTTGAATGAATACTTCAAATGAACAATAACCTGGTTGATATCTGCTCTTAAATGGATCAAGAACGCCATACTTAACATTTTTAGATACACTGTAAATTAAAAATATAATTTGGACAATCCAAGTAAATACTAGAAATGTCTCTACAGTTGTGGATGTGCGAGTCTGGCAATTGTTTGTAGGGACTGTATATTATACTTTGCAAAATGTTTGAAAGCCTGGAGGACTACACTTGGCAGCTGATAAATATGGGTCAATACCGTGTAGAGCTGGAGGAATACAGCAGGTCAGGCAGCATCAGAGGAGCAGGAAAGTCATTTCGGGTTGGGACCCTTCACAGGACAGTCTGATGAAGGTAAGCATGCCAAATGTCTCCCTTACAATCCTGCCTACCTGTGATGCCACTTTGAAGGAACAACGTACCTGCACCCCTAGGTCTCTCTGTTTGACAGCACTCCCCAGGGCCCTTCCATTAACTACTCATTACCAAGTCCTGTCCTGCCCTCGTTTGTCTTACCAAATTGTAACACCTCGCATTTATCTGTATTAAATTCCATTTTCCATTCCTCGGCCACTGGCCCAGTTGATCAAGATCCCATTGTACTCTTAGAAATCCTTCTTCACTGTTCACAATACCACCAATTTTGGTGTCATCTACAAATTTACTGCCTCCTATATTCTCACACAAATTGTTTATATAAATGACAAACAACAATGGACACAGCACTGATCTTCCCAAACCTCACACTTGTCTGGATTAAACTCCATTTGCCATTTCTGCACTCAATTTTCCAACTGATTTATATCCTAATGTATCCTTTTACAAACGTTCCTCACTATCCACAACTCCAATTGTCTGTAAACTTATTCATCAGACCACTTACATTTTCATTAAAATCCTCCAGTCAGAAACACACCCCTCCAACACTGCACTTTGTCTTCTATGATCAAGTCAATCTTGTATCTAACTCATCATTGATCCCATCTTCTAGACTAGCCTACCATGAAGGACCTTGTCAAATGCTCTAGTAAAGTCCATGTAGACAACATCTAATGCCTTA